ATATGCCTGTACCTAGCTATAGAGAGATGGTGCTGCTGGAGGTGTTTGCTCTACTATGATCAGAGTGCTTTCCAGTACAGAACGTGCTCTGTGCCCTGATAAACTTCTTTCAATTCTTCCTGCACCATGCTCACTCTTCACAGAAAATAAACAGAAGAGAATAGTTAATAGCACTTACTTGCTGTTTAGATATGCAGATTATTCATATCTGTTATCCCAAATGAAAAGCAAAAGAAATAGGAAGGGAGAAATAAATAATCTTAAGGGTTTCTAAACTTCACTGTTAAGTGACTAGCTTTGATGCCATTCACTTAGGCTTCTTTATGAAGACAACCTTCCCAAGCCAATCTTGCAAATCTGTCACGTGACAACATTACAAAATGCACTTTGAAGAAAAAACACCTTAATAGCTGAAGAGTTTTTATACTTCTGATGGAAATATTCCTTGGAAAAAGGAAGAAGGTACAGGCATGGAAAGGAAGATGGTTAAAGGTGCCACAAAAAAAAAGTTAAAAGAGAAAGAAGAGGCCACACTTCCTTGGTTTGAGTATGTGTCAAATTTAGTATTATGCTACAATGAACTTGATTGCTGCAAAATGGTATTTAAAACAATGCATGTGAAATACTGTATCTTAATTACATTGATACTTGAAGGATACACTACATGTGTGTGCAAATGGTTTCTCCTGCACAAAGATAAAGAATCATTTGCTATGATGTACAACAAAAGCACATCCTGCTGACAATGCTGCTCTGTAGGGGCTGAGACCAGTCCACACCGGAGCTGCTCTCCCCATGAAGCAAATGGAGGGAGGTCCTGATCTTGGTTAAAATTAACTCAAGGGAAAAATTCTAAAAAGTACATCTTCCTCATTTGGTCCACTGCAATCACGCAAACCCCTTAACACAAGAGATACTTGAACAAAAGGAACTAGATGGGACTATCATTTCTGGTAGTGGTGCCAGTTAAAGCAATCTTAAAAGTAGTTGAGAAAACAAGGCCTTTGGGCATGCTACATTCTCAGGACATATGGCTACACTTTTGTTTGAAGACAATTCCCTACCTATGTTGAAAAACTTAACACTGGAGGACAGAAATGGCAATTTCTGCTTTAAAGGAAAAACCTAGTTACAGGGAGTTCCAGTTCTACAGTGGGATGCTGACAGTAGTGTCAATGAATAGTAATTCTGTGGAGTTTGTGTATCTGCTACAGTTAGTGCAGCACTAACAAATATCAACACTTCGCCCCCCCAAAAAAAAACCAAAACCAACCCCCTTATGCCATCAGAGTTCTGCATCCCCACAGGAAGATGGGTTTATTGTCTGGCTTTCTTAGGCAGTCTTATTGTATTTCAATGCTGCATAGATATGAAGGCATCATTACAAATAAAATAAAAATCAAACTACAATTATAAAAATATGCTGGTTTTGTAGCAAGAAATATACTTCCTGCATTATAGACTAATAATACAAGTTTTATAAAAGGAAAGGAAATCACAGATGCATACTTTCCAGTGCCTGGAAACTAACGCCTAAGCAAAGACCAGTTTAGAAGAGACCTCACTGGAATCATCCATGTTCATATTCACAAGATTAAATATTCACTGTTTAGCAATTTTAAGATCATAAAAACATGACATCATATGCTGTACATTACAGAACAGTTTGAGCTAACCATTCACCCCAAATTATCTTCAGCGCTAGTATGTAGTGATAGTTGTATATCATGCAGCCCCTTCAGTATAGTCCAAGTATTTTCCATACACTGAAACAAAGCTTCAATATCTTGATATTCAGCCTTTCAGGTACCTAGTCTAGATGTGCCTACATACAGCATCTATAAGGCTTTCTGTAGTAAAACCCTATGAACTGAGTCACCTAAAAGTGATACCAATTACCATTACAAAATTATTAAAATTACTAAAAAGACTTAAAAAATATATGGGATATCTAAGTAAAGCAAGTTCAAGAAGGAGGAAAAGGTTGATAAAAAAATATTTCCATTATTTTAAACATTATTTTGCTAAACAATGTTTATTATAGTAAACATGTTTTGATATGTTTTAAGAGTTTTGAATTATTTAAAATATCAGCGTTTCACAACCAGAAGCATTTTGATGCAGTATGATTTATTCTGCAACATTAAAGCTTCACTCTAAAATTGCTTCTAAAAAAAACCCACCTCAGCCTCTTTTACCCTGATTGAACAGAGAGCTTGAAGTGATAACAAATTAGCACAATTAATGCAGAAGGAGAAATACATTATCAATTAGACAGCCTGTGCCTACTTTCAAGATTTGATCAAATGCTTATCTTCTTAACAAAAAAAAAAAATCATTACTCTTTTGTATGAATAAAAAAATAATCAAATTAAGCTCCTCATTCCTTTGTTATGATTTTGGACAAGGGCAACGAAGTCACTGCACACAAGCAATCAAGAAAGTGAGAAAACAGAAAGATAAATCAAGAGATATCAAGGAATTGGCTGGAGAGTAGGATTTATGAGGAACATGAAATGAAGTTCATTTAGACCTGCTGTGCCAAAACAGCACTCCGGGACTGCAGCACCCACATGTCATCCTCTGCCAAATAAGAAATTTCCAGCTCCCAGGCTGCCTTACCAACAAGAGCTGTTCATGCAGTCATGTTTGATGCTGTCAGAATATTAAAACTAATTCACCTAAATTACTGATATAAAAAAAAAAAAATAAAAATATAGTTGAAGGCATTACCTTGGCCTCCTAATGACATCTGAAAATCTTAAGTTATTTACAAGAATACTTTAATATTAGCCACCGTTTCCCTCATAATCCCTAGTCAGCATATTAGCTACATTCTGAACATTACAATGGCAGATTCTATCATGTTTATGAGGTTGGAAACAAATAACATATTTTAAGATCTACTGGCTGTCCCAGTATTGCCTTTTCTTCCTTTGTTGATGTTTAATCTTCTTATCAGTATTATAAAGCTTTGCTACTTCATATGTCACCTCTGTGAGAGACCTCAGGCAGCTTCTTATAAGTGTCAGTGCTCATCAATGAATTTTATTCAAAGAGTACCCTCTCAAACTACATTTTTATTTTCTTCCAAAATAACAGGATGAATCAGCCTTACCCAGTCCATCTACACACCCAAACCAACAAATTAGTAAAGAATGTACCAATGTTTGCAGGAGGAGAAAGGAAAAAGTTACTTTTATTACACCAGTTAATAAGGATTGAAGAAAGAAAAAAGTTTTTTGAAATGAGCATTTCACAGCCAAGAGCCCCTTTGTTTGAGGCTTTCTCTCCCCAGTGCTTTAACCAAAACTTACTCTATAGCTTTGAAAACAAAAGAGCAGCCAAAAAACTCTCCTGTTCCCAACACTGCACAAAAAATTAATCTGGACAAGTGCAAGACACAGAAATCTATTTTATCATTCTATCGTCTTGTAAAAATACATGTAGCTCCTGTAAGAGACTGAACTTAAGATGTTTCCTCTACAGTCATACAACTTGTCCTGAAGTATCATTATCATCTGGTTGATATTCTTTGATCTTGTTTTCTCATTGTGATCACAGCAAGTATCATACTTCTGTAAAGCTAAACCAAAAACTACATTGCACTAAATTACTTGTTTCAATAAAATTCCTGGACACCACATTGAAACTGGTGCAGATGTGGGAACAGTGGAAACTAGTGTCAATCTATCTCAACAATTGGACTATCACACTACCTAACCAATAAACAGATGAATACTTGCAAGATTCATCGAGTTACTTGACTCCTTGTTTCCTTATCTCTGAATGATTTTAAGAGTCTTTTTTGGCCTCCAA